TATATATATATAAATCGGTACTGTTGTTTAAAATAAAAAGAACTTCCATATTAATAGAGAATAAAATATATATATAAATTTTCTTTCTCAATTATTTTCTTTGACTGCCGAGCAAAGAAACATGTCACTGAACTCGCGGTTGATTCTTTTCAAAGTATTCGAAGAAACAAGAGTGTCTACCTGTTGATATATATTGTTTTATATACATAAAACCATATACATATAATCATATTTCTTATTTATTCACGACATCGCGAAAACTTTAACACGTATACTCGGTTGTTATAAATCATACAAAGAAAAATATATAATTCCCTATATAGGGGGCGAAAGAAAAAAAAACAATATAAAAAGGGCTCGGCAGTTCGCGATCGCGTAAAGTTAGTCTGATTTTTTTTTTCCTATTATTTTTTGTAAAACAAAACGAAATCTATGAATATAACAACCAACAATCAACAACAACAATAATTACAATTATATATATATATATATTATACTTAATTACTTAGCTGGCCTTGATCTACCCCTTCCCCACCCCCACCACCACACCCCATAATGTGTCAATGTGCTCCTCGACGCGATGTCGATTATTTCTTTCTTTTATTTTTTTTTTTTTGTCTACTTCTACTTCTTCTACTTCTTCTTCTTCTTCTTCTTCTTCTTCTTCTTCTTCTTCTTCTTCTTTCCCTCGGCCGGAGTTAGGGAAATTCACGTGTGGCTATGTGTGTGTGTGTCTGTGGACAGTCTGCAGAAACAGGTCAGCGTTATGAGTATGAACCTGAGTGCCAAGTTGGACGAGCTGCAGCGGGGTGACCGCCAGCTGGAGACTACTGTTGCCCTATGTGAGATACGTACTCAACTTCAGGAACTCACCAAAAGTGTTGAGTCTTGCCAGAGCGAAGTCAGCGAAGTTAAAAGGGATATGGTTGCGATTAAGGTACTTAAAAAGACAACAACAAAAAAACCAACAAACAAATAGAAAGAAAGAAAGAAACAAAACCTCCCAATTTATTCTTAACTCTTTTGGTATTTCAAATTTGTCAAAAGTTTTTTGTCAATTAATCGTTCAAATTTTTAATACTAAAAAAAATATAAAAAATATTTGCCGAAACTTTTGAAAGAAATGACAAAGTAGGAAAAATTTGTAGCATCTCATTGTTTGCCATTTTACGAACCTTTGCAGATTGTTTTATAACGCGATAAGATACTCTACGCGTAGACAAAAGAGTGTACTTTAATTTAATATAAAAATCATTAAAATCCGTTTGCTAAAAGTATAAAAAATATTGACCAAAACTTTTCAAAGAAATTGCAAAGATGCACAATTTACAGCATTGCATTCTCTGACATTTTCTAAACTTTACATGCTAAATTTATAACTCGATATGATATTCTACGCGTAGACAAAAGAGTGTACTTTAATTTAATACAAGTTTCATTAAAATCTATTAACTTTTAGTATAAAAAATATTTACCAAAACTTTTCAAAGAAATTGCAAAGATGCACAATTTACAGCATTGCATTCTCTGACATTTTTTAAACTTTACATACTAAATTTATAACTCAATATAATATTCTACGCGTAGACAAAAGAGTGTACTTTAATTTAATACAACTTTCATTAAAATCTATTAATTTTTAGTATAAAAAATATTTACCAAAACTTTTCAACAAAAATAGCAAAGTTGTACAATTTATAGTATTGCACAAACTTTGATATTTCTTTGAAAAGTATCTGTAAATATTTTGTATATTAAAAGTGAATAGATTTAAATGACACTTAATAACAATGCCGAGAAATTACTAGCAATGACTGATTTCCGGCTTTGACGGTAACATATATATACATATATAATTTTCTTGGTTTCCCTTTTCTCTCTATAAAATATATATATATATGTATATATATATATATATATATATCCTATCTACCTGTCGTGTATTTTATTTAACTTAGCACGAGCTAGACACCGTGCAGCAAGTAAAGGAGGAGATAGAAGAATTACGAGAATATGTAGATCGCCTGGAAGAACATTCACATCGACGAAAACTCAGACTGTTGGAACAGGTGACCGTTCATAACGAATAAGAAAAAAAAATAAAAAATAAAATAAATAAAAAACAAAAGAAAAAAAAAAACCATTAATTTATTTTCGTTCACCGTTTGGTTTTTTTCTTTTTTTTCTTTTGAAAGTGTGATAATACGACGACTGAGTTTTTAAATTAACTCTACTAATTAACATTATTATTATTCTTTGTTTGTTTCTTTTCTATTATAATATAATCTATATTTTTTACGTTTATTTTGTATCTATATATATATATTTATATATTATATATAATTTTGATATTTTATACGTTGTATTAACTGTGTATAATCTTGATTATTCGATGTTAAACAAAAAAAAAAAAACAAAACAATAGGATACCAAATAAAGTTACTTTTTTGGATTATTTTATTTTGTCCTTATTTATTATTACTTTAAGATCATTTTTAATGTCTCTTTGGTAATAACCCCCTTTTTACAAATTATATTGTAACAAAAACAAAACAAAACAAAAAAACTGATGCACGAAGAATGTTTCGCTTTTGATCGTTGTTTATTATTTCCTTTTGTATATACATTTGTGTTTGCAAATTGTACTTTTTTCTTTTTTTTTTTTTTTTACTCTTTAAACGCGCGAATATGCATTTCATCGTTATTCAAGCATATTGTTAATAATTTTCAGGGATTAACATTTTTCTTATCGTATGCAATATTGGCGGCTGTTTTGGGCATGTTGCAATTTGGATATAATACAGGAGTGATTAACGCACCCGAAGTGGTATGTGTTTAATTAATCAATAAACAATAATAAAAAAAAACAAATCCCCTCTAATCGCATTACCTTTATCTAACACACATCTTTATCTTTTTTTTCTTTCCCCCTAGAATATAGAAAATTTTATGAAAGATGTATACAAAAATAGATACGGCGAGGATATCACCGATGACTCTGTTAAGAAACTTTATTCCGTAGCGGTGAGCATATTTGCTATTGGAGGTATGCTAGGTGGTTTTAGTGGAGGAATAATTGCCAACAGATTTGGCAGGTAAGTAAAATATACCGCGTTAAAATAAATATAATAATAATAATTCAATTAAATGATTATAATATTAATATTAATTTTAAAAAACACGGAATCAATCATTGACTTTAATGTGAACAAATCTTTCCTTTTTGTTTTTTTTATTCTCTCTCGTTCCCAACCCTGTTATTATTTTTTTCATTTTTTTTTTTCATCATCATCATCATCTTCTTCTTCTTCTTCTTCTTCTTCTACTTTTGTTTAATCCTACGACCACAGAAAGGGGGGCTTACTGCTAAACAACGTGCTGGGCATCGTGGGGGCATGCCTGATGGGTTGTACAAAGATTGCTCACTCATACGAAATGTTGTTCTTTGGACGGTTCATCATCGGTGTCAATTGTGGCTTAAATACCTCATTGGTTCCCATGTACATATCGGAGATAGCACCACTGAACCTAAGAGGTGGCCTAGGCACGGTGAACCAGCTCGCTGTTACGGTGGGCCTCCTGGTCTCCCAGGTGCTGGGCATCGAGCAAATCCTTGGGACAAACGAGGGTTGGCCTGTTCTCTTAGGATTAGCTATCTGTCCTGCCATATTACAACTATTATTGCTTCCAATATGTCCCGAATCTCCAAGGTATGAATAATATTCTATATTACAAATTATATTATAATATTATTTCAATTTTTATCTTAATTATATATATATACGTTTGATAAATAAAATATCACTCGTATTTTTATTTCATTATTATTAAAGTGAAGCATAAAATTTTGTGCATTTATATTATTGTGTTATCAATCGAATAGGATTGTGTTTTAATAAAATTTACTTTGGTAATATTTACTTGAAAAAATACTCACGAACATTTTAATATATTATAA